GGGGGAAAAAAGAGAAAAAACCCCAAAAAATCCAACAAAACAGCCGCGGGTGGGATTTGGGAAGCGAAAGGAAAATTTAAGGATGGAGAAAGAGAGAAGAGGGGTGGACACACACCACCAGCGAGCGCGGCGGGCTCAGTTGCAGAGGGACAACGAGGAGCCGACGTAGAAGAGCCAAAAAAATGGGAAAATCCTCTCGGAAAAGGCGGCGGTGAAGGTGAAGATGGGCGCCATGCTGTCGGCGTTGTAGAACGCCACCCACCCTCCCTCGTAGTCCAGGTACACCCCGACCTTGCGCGGCCGCTCGCAGAGCGACAGCGGCGTCTCCGGGGAGGTGAAGGCCTGGTATTGATCCCAATTTTTGCCCTTCCAGTTGAGGCCCACCGCCCAAATGCCTTCCTCGGGGGCGAAGTCGACTTTCTCCTTGCGGCGCACGGACTCGCGGGCGGCTCCCAGCACCCAGCTCTCCCCGTCTCCCACCTCCACCTCCCAGTAGTGGCGTCCGGCGGAGAATCCCTCGGAGGTCAGGACGCAGAAGGCGTAGTCGAAGCGTTTGGGGTGAGGAGGGAGTTCCTGGGGCGCCCCGCGGAGACGGACGCTCCGTTTGTCCTCCGACAGCACCAGGTAAGGGTTGGCGGTGTCGGGGTCCAGGCAGAGCTCAGCTGGATTGGGGGGGAAAAGATTAAAAAATTAAAAAATTCATCGGGAGGAGTTTGTCGCCACGGGATCGGCGAGTTGCGGCTCGGACGGTCGCGCCATCGGATGAGGACGGCGTGGTTTGCGCCCCAGCGGCAACGTCGGGATCGTTATCCCAACCACGTGGGGGTTGATCCCAAAATTTGTCCCGAACCAGGATTGGATTTGCCCCAAACCAGGATTGGATTTGCCCCAAACCAGGATTGGATTGGTGAGTTGTGACTCGGTCGGTCGTGCCCTCGGATAAACTCGGCATGGTTTGATCCCAAAATTTGCCCCGAACCAGGATTGATCCCAAAATTTGCCCCGAACCAGGATTGGATTTGCCCCAAACCAGGATTGGATTTGCCCCGAGCCAGGATTGGATTTGCCCCGAGCCAGGATTGGATCAGCGAGTTGCAACTTGGATGAGCCCGGCGTGGTTTGATCCCAAAATTTGCCCTGAACCAGGATTGGATCCGCGAGTTGCAACTTGGATAAGCCCGGCATGGTTTGATCCCAAAATTTGCCCCGAACCAGGATTGGATTGGTGAGTTGCGACTCGGTTGGTCGCACCCTCGGATAAACCCGGCATGGTTTGATCCCAAAATTTGCCCCAAACCAGGATTGATCCCAAAATTTGCCCCAAACCAGGATTGGATCAGCGAGTTGCAACTCGGATGAGCCCGGTGTGGTTTGATCCCAAAATTTGTCCCGAACCAGGATTGGATTGGGGAGTTGTGACTCGGATGAGCCCGGCGTGGTTTGATCCCAAAATTTGCCCCAAACCAGGATTGATCCCAAAATTTGCCCCGAACCAGGATCGGATCGGCGAGTTGCCACTCGGATGAGCCCGGCATGGAATCGCAGCGTGGTTTGATCCCAAAATTTGCCCCAAACCAGGATTGGATTTGCCCCAAACCAGGATTGGATTTGCCCCAAACCAGGATTGGATTTGCCCCGAGCCAGGATTGGATTGGTGAGTTGTCACTCGGATGAGCCCGGCGTGGTTTGATCCCAAAATTGGCCCCAAACCAGGATTGATCCCAAAATTTGCCCCAAACCAGGATCGGATCGGCGAGTTGCCACTCGGATGAGCCCGGCATGGAATCGCGGCGTGGTTTGATCCCAAAATTTGCCCCGAACCAGGATTGGATTGGCAAGTTGTGACTTGGATGAGCCCGGCACGGAATCACGACGTGGTTTGATCCCAAAATTTGCCCCGAACCAGGATTGGATCGGCAAGTTGCAACTCGGATGAGCCCAGCGTGGTTTGATCCCAAAATTTGCCCCAAACCAGAATTGGATTTGCCCCAAACCAGGATTGGATTTGCCCCAAACCAGGATTGGAT